CTGCACCCTAACCACTGCGCCACCTCGGCTCTGTTATCCCTCTGTTATCCCTCCTTCCTTCCCTCCTTCCTTCCTCTACTCCTTATTCTATTCTAAAAAGTTACTTGGAAGAAGGTGTGTCTCAACCTTGGGTGCTTGCAGAGAGGGATGGACGTCAATTCCCAGAATCCCCCAGCCGGCTGGGGAATTCTGGGAGTTGTGTCCACCCCTCTGCAAGCACCCAAGGCTGAGAAACACAGCAAGGGATGGCCATTGAAACACGTTTATATTTTTACGCTTCTTGTCTTCTTCCCTTTCTCTGAAACGCCAGAATTAAAGGCCCAGTTTAAAAGAGATTACCTGGAGACGTATCCGAAGGGGATGTTTGGGTTATGTGGGGAGTGTGCAGCAGCTAAATCTTTGGCCTATCTCCACTGTCCGCAGCCGCGGAGTTGCCGACAATGTCGTCATTGCCAGAGTGAATGGGGAATTGTGGGACCTCGACCGGCCGATGGAAGGAGATTCCACCTTGGAGCTGCTGACTTTTGAGAACGAAGATGCTCAGGCGGTAAGTGGGCGGTTCCCCATTTTCCATGCAAAGCATTTAAAGGCAGAAGCTCGCATGAAAGAGGACAAGCCATGTTAAAAAGGCTGCTCCGTCTTGGCTAGCTTTCCCGATGGATGTGAGGAACTTCCTTATCTGGAAATAGATGCCGGTGCTGCAGGATTTCTGCCGATGTCTCGTGTTTCATTTTAGCAGCCCAAATAACAAACTGGAAAATTTTTGGATAACGTAACATGGGAATTGGTTTATACCAATAGTAATAAACTATAATATGGTATATGTTAGATAAATGGTGAATTTGTGTATGTAGAGGACCTACATATGTTTTACGTGGTGTAAATTTGGAGGTGATGGCCACTGAAGAGCTGCATGCAATGAAATTTCATTTTTAACGAATGCCAGTTATTGTGTAAAGTGACAATAAAGTTATTCTATTCCATTCTTATTCTGTGTTCTTATTCTATTCTATATTCTATTCTATATTTTATTCTATATTCTATTCTATATTCTATTCTATTCTATATTCTATTCTATTTTATATTCTATTTTATATTCTATTTTATATTCTATTTTATATTCTATTCTATTCTGTATTCTATTCTATTCTATTCTATATTCTATTCTATTCTATATTCTATTCTATTCTATATTCTATTCTATATTCTATTCTATTCTATATTCTATTCTATATTCTATTCTATTCTATATTCTATTC